GAGCCCTGGCACAGGCTGCCCAGGGAGGGTGTGGAGTCTCCTTCTCTGGAGACTTTCAAAACCCACCTGGATGCGTTCCTGTGTGACCTGCTCTGGGTGATCCAGCTTAGGCAGGGGGGTTGGACTAGATGACCTCTAGAGGTCCCTTCCAACCCCTGACATTCTATGATTCTATGATTTTATGATTCTCTGATTCTATGATCGTAGAGCAGTTCCAGCTGAAATGCTGCACTGCTGTGGACTTGACCAGCAGGTCACAACATGGTTTGACTTGTAGTGCAGTCAAGCCTGCCCCAAATAAAATGTAAATGTATGGACTGCATGAAATGAAAGAAAAAAGAAAAAAAGCTGCAGGTGGCAGTGGGAATCACTGATGTGTTTCCATTTATTTATGAGAACATAGAAAGTTCTGCTTCCTCATGTGCAGAAAGTAGCTTTGCTACTTAAAAGCCCCTTTCAGTATCTTTCCTTGAGCATAGACACATCTTCCTATAGGAAAGTAATTTGAATTGTAGCTTCCCATTCAAGGCCTTTTGTTTCTCAACTTGAACTGTCCGTGCTTCCCAAGTTATTCATCTTCATCCAGTCACGCCCCTTCATCCAGCCAGCTGGAAATACTTGAGAAACCTTTTTGTTCTGAGCAGATACATGGTTTTGTGTTCCAAGTTCAGAATTTACAGTCTGCCTCCTTCCACAAAAACCATTTTCACTGAAAAACAGAGGTTTTATTCGACTTCTGCATCAAGAACTAACAGACTGTAACAACCAGCCTGTAACAAACATTGATGTTTGGATGCAGTACCTCCTGACAACGTAGAAGAGACAGAAGGCAACTACAGCAGGAAAACATCAAGGTCAGAATCCTAAACAGATGCTCAGATTCCACAAATATCAGAGGTTCTCCACCATCATTACAAGCATTTCAGTGACGGCTGATGAGCCAAGCTTGTAAAACCTTACAGCCAGGATAGATCTCTAACAAAAACTTAGGTAAGCTAACACACACTAGAGGAAAAGACAAAGAGAAATGTTTGCCTTATTTATTAGGCTGCTGATCACATCTCTCATTACCAGCATCCTTCAGATGTATCACCTTCCAGTAGCAGTAATAAAGGACAAAGTATCTTCGCAGGCTAATATCTTTCCTGTATTGATCTCAAAAGCACTTAAGAGAGCATGTGGCATACACTCAGGAATTACAGCTTTTCTAAATGGAGAAACAAATAGCGTTTAATAATTTAGACTACAGCCCTTAGAAAGACATAATGTAACACTAGCTTACCTCTTTACCCAAACTTTGTAACATGAAAAGGGCTGGTGTTTAGTGTTTGCAATATGATTAGTCTTTCCTCACTATTTTAAGACTTTCCTTCTAAGTATGGTAATGTAGCTCAGTTATATGGAAATGTTAGAATTTATCCTGTAAGTCTACTTACAGAGACATGTACACAAGATTCTCATCTCACAAGATTCTCAAGTGTTGTCAGTTGTGCCAGAGCAGAAGTGTTCAGCTTTGGAAATTCTGGAGTCTTTCTCCCTCATTTAAACTTATCCACGAACTCACTTAATTTCAAGCAGATTCCCAGCTGGATGATAACAGATTCTTTTTTTAGTCCAAGTCTTTACAGCTCACTGTTACAGCAAAAGCAAACTCCGTAATGTACAGCTAGGTGCACACCAAGTTGCTGTTTGTCCCTCTCTCTCTTCTGTAAAATCATCAGATTCTGCACCTGGCTGGGATGAAGATCAGCCCCCAGCGAGGCAGCCGTTGTTCCAAGCAGCAGAGCTGAGGTGCCAAACTGCAATGCTCTTTTTGGACACATTCACATCTTCCTGCATGACCCCGCTGCAAGACGGAACTTGCCACCTAACCCACCTGTCCGCATCGTCATCACCAATTCCCAGGGTTTTTTTGGAACAATGAGGTAAAGCTTTTTTCCATACTTTATAGCTCCAAAACTTCCATCAAATCACAAACAGAAATACACGTTTCTTTCAGATCTCTGCATTAATGCAATAATGCATAATTCTCTGCATTAGTGACAGCCTCCAGTCTCCTTTCTGTAACAGTGCACATACATACTGAAATCTGCTTTCCAGAGCACCGAGAACTCTTCTGCACTCCTCGGGGATGGCACCAGCACCCTCTGCTGTCACACAGCAGCACCAGAGTCAGCCCAAACCCCAGTTGCTGTACTGGGCACTGGGAATTTCAGGGACAGCTTTCTCCATTCTATACTGAAGATCTTGAACCGTTAAATCCTCACAGTGGCATTCTGCAATGAACTCAGCACATGAAGACAGCTCATTTTGAAAGACAGTGACTGTGTCTAGAAACCATCACCTAAAATGAGCTTGTTAAATTAGTTATTTGCACTGATTGAACACCTAAAAACTATAGCAGGATGACAGAAAATCACAACCATGCTAATAGAGCTATCAACTTCTATAAATGCATCAATAAATCACTGATATTTCAATGTGTATCTTAAAACCCCATCTTCTAAAATCTTGTGATTACATGAGACTCAGTTCTGATTTTTTTCCTCTTCATGCTTTTCCTGGTTGCAGAGAGAAACTTGAAAACATTCATTTTAGAAATCCAGAAGGCAAGTAAATTTCAGCTCTAACATCACGATTCTCGTGCGGTTTTCTTCTTCTGCAAAGCAACACCAAAATGTCTTACAGCTGCTGGCTAGCAATACCAAACACATTCACACGAAGGCTTCCTGCAACCACAAGCACCAGCCTTTAGGCCAACGCTGTGCTGAAGGAGCAACAACTCCAAAACAAAAGGCGAGCCACCAGCACCCTGGTGACATTTCAAACTTTTACACAGCTAGATTTAGCAAAGCTCATCAGTCTGACCAGCTCTGTTGATCAGTCCTAGGCCACACAGAATCATCTCAAAACAAGATCTACGCAACACATTCACATACAGAGTCTATACTGACCGAAGACATCTTTTTATTTTTTCCTTAATGAATGAAGGCCATCTATCATTCTTCCCAGGAATATTGTCATCGTCATCATCATCACTGGCAACAGCATTTAATCATAAACCAAATCAGGGAATGGAATACAAAAGGGGTTCCTTCAAGACGAGGATTACAAAAACATATATACATACCAAACATAAAAGACAGAAACAACACTGAGATCAAAAGCAAACACAGCAAAAGAGAGATTATAGTATCATTTGCAGCATTTTGGGTGAAGGATCACAATCCACACTAATAAAAAGAGAAGAGAGTTCACTGAATATAGAAATGGATGTATTTTACACAGGGTCAGTAAGCCTGTGATGGGATGGCAGCTGTACAAAACCCCAGGAATCAAAGCTGAGTGTGTTCATTTACATTACACTCAAAATGTTTCATTTACATTACACTCAAATGCTTCCGTTCTTTGTAAGAGAAGATATGCTTCCTAAAATAGAGAAAAACAAGTAGTAAAATAGGAACTAACTACCAAGCCAATGCAAAACTTACTCTTTCTGGTGTTACTACAAATTAAGCAGTATCTATAGCTTCAGTGAGCCTACCTGGGTGAGTTAAGTTTTCACCTACATAAACAAAAATTACAGTCTAGCTCCTAATTAATACTGTTTTCAAATTGCAAGAGCTACATACTAAATTCAGGCCAAGACTGGAAGATTAAAATCTTGCTTGAGCTGATCTGCAACCAAAATTTTTGTTTTGCAGCTAGTCCTATCAATAAAACAAAAAACACCTACCATCATTCCAGCTAAAACCAGCCAAGTCAGCCTTCAAATTTTGCACTGACTGTAAACAAACACTAAATAAATGTGCAGTGCTGCAAAAATTGAAAAGGACCACTAAGTGCCACTGCTGCTTAAGCCACTAACACAATTTTACAAACCTACTTCTACAAATGCCTGCTTCCTTCAAAGTCAGTAGTAAAATTTCTGTCAATTTAAGTGACTGCAAGGCCAGGCCCTGAGAGAGTAATCATTTTCCAGCTGCACAGTCTTAGACTGATGTGGAGTTACAGGTTAAAGACTGATGAGGCAAGGAGGAAAGCAGATGCCCCTTTTATTACTAATGCTAAATATAACTGACTAAATACATATCCACATGAACATGGAGAGTAGAGGCATTTGCTGAAAAGAAGACGCCATCTTCTAGATAGTAAATAGTTCCCATCCCCAATACACTCTTAAAGAGAGAAAACTGGCTGAGAAATCTGACAAAAATTAACACACTATTTGCCATAATTAAAAAAAGGGCTTTTGTTTTGTTTTGTTTGTAGAATGCCCAAATTATCCCAGATTTCCAAAGGCATAACCAAAAGCAGAGTATATGCTGGAATGAGGGGGATTTCCAGTGCATGGGAGAGAACAGATGTTGGCTCTGGGACATTCCAGTGGGCATTGATGAGCAAAGCACGAGGCCTACAGCCTTGTGATTTCAAACCACCCAAAAGCCAGAATTACTCCAACTTACAATGCTGTTTAGATCTTACAGTCATCACAAAATAGATCCATTAGCAATCAGAAGCAAAGTCAGACTGCAGATCGCAGAGCATTAGAGAAAGAAATGTGATGGCATCAATGCCCATGACTCATGATGTGTCAGTGCCCAGCTTTACATCTATTATATAGCACACATTATTTTCTTGGCCAAATCCACATTACACAAAATACTGTACGGTCTGCAGAAACTTTAAAAACATATTTTGCAAGGGAAATGTTTTAAAAGCCTGAAGCATGTCTTCTTAGAACATCGCTGTCAGATGTGTAAGGATATAACAAATCAACAAGTTTTCCTAGTATTTGGTAGTAGGAAATGCTCAGCTTCCTAATATTTCAAATTAAGCCTGTGATGGCATTTCTTCATTGTGTATTTACATACAACAGTCTGATCAAAAGTTTTAAGGCTCTTATTTCGAAAAAAAAACCAAAAAACCTTCGCAGTAAAGAAGGGATTAAATGAAGTTAACGCAGCTATTGGCAATACAGAGGATGCTCATGTCGTTTGCTATTGTACAATCTGGGGCATTTCACTCCACGCTTTGGCTTTCTTCTTGGCCAGGGACAGCCACGGTGGTTCAGCGGAGCTGCATGGTGTCATTGGCAGGTTAGAGCAGTGCCTTGCTTCCTTTTCAACAGCAGCAATCACAGATGCTTCCTGAGCAATAGGTCCGACTTTACCTGCCAACAACAAGATATCCATCACTCATAAGAAGGCCAGAGAGTCAAAAACTCGATTTCTGCCAATAATATTTCCTTTTCTCTAAAGCAATTGTTTTACAGTCCAGAACGTTTGTGACTCAAAAATGAGTCAGAGGAATTGTTAAACTGAGTATCGCTAGCATTATCTGGTCCAGCTACAACAATGGGGAGGACTAGTTATTGCAATGGAAAATTTGATACTAAGCTGTTAGTGAATAATCTGCCCATAAAAGAATCTTCCTCTCCGTCTCAACAGCAAGTGTCTAAGCCCTGATAAATGAAGAAGTTCCTCAAAATTCTTCAAGCATGTGGAGACTACAGCTTCTGGAGGTATTTTTATAATTCATATTCTTGGCTAACTCATTTCTTAATCTTTTCAAACTCTTACTTTCCATGACAGTGCACAGTAAGGAATTCCACAGGCTTATGATGCTCTGTGAGTGCAGGAAAATCCAGGAATAAGACTTCCGAGCATGGAAACAAAATATCTGCAGGGAAAGGATCACCCCAGGCTTGTTGTGGGGTTAAAATTAACTGGCATATGCTTTTCAATACTGAGAAGTCTTAAAGACATTTTTTCGGTCTTCACTGTCGACACAAATATTGCTCTATCGATATTATTAAATTCTGGGCAGGGATCAAACAACTGCTTTATGTTCTCAGACTTGTAAGCCAAGAAGGTGGGGTTCTGGTGGGGCTAGGTGTTGCTCTTCGTGAAGCCTGATACATCCCTGTCATCCTCACAAAGGATGGAGGAGTACAGGTAACACGCTTCATATGGCTCTGAGATGCTCTTTAGAAAAGGCTTCCTCCATCCACCCTGTTTGCAAATTTTCAAGAACAATGTATTCAGACAGGCAGCCTGGATTGGGGCTTCACAGAATGCAGCTCTGAACAGACGCAGCTCTCATTTTTCAAGACATGGTTCATAAGTTCTTTCAACATCGTGCTCTCTTCATCCATTTCAATCCAGGCAGTACTTCATTTCTGTATGTAAGTCAAATTGAGAAAACTTGAACTTTTTCTCTTATTTGGTTAGTCTGTGCATGGCACGTGGCAGATATGATGAGGCCAGTGTGCTGCAGCACAGGAACAGAGGTCACATGGGGACTTAAGCAAAGTGAAGTAGAAACAGGTTGATCTTGCTTGCACTGAATCAATGGAAAATGACCATCAGCTCCAGCAGCTGCGCTCCCGAGCAGAGCCAGAGAAGTTCCCTATCTCTCTATCAAGAGATCTCTGGTCTTACAAAAATCCTGGCTCATTGATAGTTCTTGCAGGAGGCAAACAATACTTAGGAATACCGGGGGAACTATACTGTCTATTACAAACAGGCTGCAGCTCTACATACACAGCAATTTTTTTAGAAGTATTTAAGCTCTTGTAGGAATTTAGGTGTTACTGAAATTTTGAGTTTGGAAATGGATTTCTACACTTCGGGAAATTTCCTTCTTTGTAATAAGGAAAAGTGAGTCTAAAGCCCTTTGCACGCTCTTGGGAGCACAAGGTAAACCAAAACCCAAAACAGCAGCTCATGCCTATTTGAGGGAACACAGGTTCTGGGACAAACCTCACCATGAAGGGTGAAGTGGGAAAGAGAAGAGGCAAGCCAAGTAAACTTCCCTTGGTTATGGTGGGCTGCCATGCAGCAATAACAAAACAGTCCCACTCAGTAAAGTAAGGATCTGACTTCTTGGAAGTCTCTTCCAAACTTAGCTGACCTTGAGCTGTCCTGGCTCTTGCTGTTGTGTGCAGGATGTATGCATTGCACAGAAAACCTAAACCATCCATCAAAAAAACTGCTAACAGTTAACATACGCCAAAAAACATGACCCAAATTAATAACTCCTCTGGATAGTAAATCTACATCCTTTCCACAATGAGCACCTTCAACGAGACAAATAGCTGGTTGTGCCAACGGAAACCAAATCAGGGAGAAGAGAGTTTACATTTGGGATTCCCAATTTCCTACTCATGTGCTCACAGCGCTGAACATTTCCTAAACAATAGGGCAAGGTTTTCTGAGAAGTAGAGGAGTGATGTTTTCCTTAAACATCAGCACGGTCAGAGCTCTTTGTGATATTCAAGGAGTGGAAGACTAGAATATGCCTACAAATGGTATCCCTGAAGGGGAGGAAATAGTCATTGAATGTCAGGAAACTAGGCCAATTCTTGGGAAGAGGCAATGCAGGAAAACTTGTAATTCTGCTGCAAGGACCACAAGTGGTGTAAGTTCTAGCAAACGAGTAGCAGTGTGTTTTGTGGAGTTCTGGATTTTGACTCAAGGGCTTCAAAGGTTTGTGTCAGACTTTCAGAGGAAGACCTTCTAATCTGAGCAAAAATCTTGGCCTGTTTATGTTCCATCTCTCACTTTGCACATAAAACTGTAAGACAAAGCTGGTCTGTAACATAATCTTTTTTTAAAAACTGTTGTTTTTAATCAAACACACAGAGATTGGCTTGCAACCAGCATCCGAGCCTCTCTATTGGTTCACACCCCTCAGCTGGTCAGCTACCTGTAGTAAGCGAGAAAATTTATTCTGTAGAACCTGTAGATTCAAAACCAGGTAACAGCTCTATAAACCACTTTTACAGGGTGTAGGCACAGAGGCACCCCCTAATATCTCTAATACAACCCCTGTGGATGCTGGGGGATTATAAGGGATGGTGGCCAGGTGCATGCGCTCTCTCTAGACAGCATCTCCTACTGACAGCGTCACCAATAGGAACCTGGAACGGAAAAGCCACTGCTCTGACACAATGGGGCATTTCTTACCTTCTTAGACAGTATCTGAAATCAACAGCTTTCAGCTAACACAACATGCTTTTACAGCTGAAGAACTGGCTTATCTATATCTAGCTGGAGCATGTCCGAGGTTTGGCACCACACTGAGCAAGCAGGGAAGGATGAGCCGCAGCCCAGCAGTTGCCTTTGAAGAGGTATGTGAGTCACCGTGTCTGAGTCAGACTCCTCCCCTGCATCTTTCTTATAGAGAATCACAGGGCAGGAGAGGGGCCATCAAGCCTCTGGGTTCACCTGAGTGTGGAACTGACTCTATTTAAGTTATTCTTGATACATGTTTATCTATTAAACCCACCAATGGAAACTGCATACACTCTAAGCAACCTATGCTATTCTGCACTTCACCACTCCTAGTGTCCAACTAAACCTCCCCTGGTGCATTTTAAGCTCCTAAAGACTAGTCTTGTCCTCTGCAGCAAATTAAGTTGCATTCTCCAGACTAAACAACTCCATCCCATCAGTATTTCCTGGCTGACTGGAGGTCTAGAAGACCTGACCTTCTTCGCTGCTCTCTTCTGGATACTCTCCAGCTTCAACTTCTATTCTTTACTACTGACCTTTGTCAGTAATAAATCACCATACTGTTTATATGCCATTCCATGAATTGGCAGTTGAGATAAAACTTCCTCACTTGCTTTCTCTGAGTGAGCAAACCAACACATCGACTTACATGGAAATTACAGTCTGAATAGGCCTTATACAAAGTGTGCTGATTATCAGAAAGGTAGCCACATCCCTCACTTACTGGTGTAAACTGTAGCCACGATGTAAAGATGTAGAGAAGGAGAATACCTGCTGCAGCAGACACGCTGGTCTTCTTTTGTGTTTTCTTGTCCTGAGAGCATAAGCTGGAAGGCATACTCTTCTTCAGTATGTTCTCACTAGCACAGATTCCTTGCTAGAAAAGGAGAGAAGACAAAAGAAGAATGCAACTAAGAAACTTGCTAGCCAGTGGCACTCATAAAGCTTGCCCTGACAACATCTCTAAACCTGACTGTGGAAATGCAGCAAAAGCCAGACAAGGATGGTTGGGGACATCCTATGAGAGGGAGGGAGAAGGCAAGAAGGAATACAGCTGCTACAAATACGGGGTTACTTCACACACAGGCAACTTCTCCTCTCTCTTGCGGATAAGGAATTGAATAATTTCTCCAAGTTGCCGAAGAAACTTGTGTAAGAGTCAGTGGAAAAGCCCAGCTTCACGTATGCAGTCTCCAGAGCAGAGCAGTGAATGAGGTCTGTAGGTCAGTAACAGTGAGGAAGCTGGTGCAACTCCAAGCAGCTCTTGGGCCACATAAATATATCCTGCGCAACAGGCAAGGTCTGAAAAGGTTCAGGTTTGAGTAATGCAAAGGAATATATAGGAGGATCCAGCTCTGAAACTAATCACTGTGACAGTACAGTCACATACGTTTGCTCATTTGCATCTGTTGTCTGTCTCAGTGTGTTTTAGAGGCCTGTCCTGAAAATCTGTCTTTGAGTAATGCTCACAACATGCCTCTCACGAAGATGATATTGAATGGTTTGCAAAAGCACCCAGGCAATCTGCTGCAGGATTTACACCCACGTAACATTACTTGGTACTCTACCTCCTCTTGATCCACTTTGGACAAAGCTTTGTCTTCAGCTTTGTGTTCTTGGGCAAGAAGGTGGTCCTGGAAACCCTTTTGTTTTAGTTTTGCCATGGAGACCCAAGCTGGTTCAGAGGAAGCAGTTTCCAAATGCGGAGATGAGACTTTTTCTGCAAAATAAGCATTTTTGAAGTAAAGAAGGGATTTAGGTCAAGTCAGTCTAAAGCTAGCGTTTTGTGTTTTAAATCCTTCAGCATCTGTAATACCCTTTGAACACTGCGAAGATAAAATTACCTTCCCTGATGATTTTGTCCTTGGCAATAACAGTTTTTCTGTTTATTCTGGAGTTTTTGACCTGACTGTGCTTCCGTTTAAGTCAATGGCAGAACTCCCACTGAGATCATTGTGAACCGGATTTTGCTTTGAAACAACATCCTTACATTGCAGATTAATTGAGTTTGATAATCATTATTTTTTCATGTAGGCAGTAAAATACAGGCTGCCTTTTCACTTTTTAAATATTTTAAATGAAGCGATTGTAGAAAAAAAGAATCACACCTACTGCAACTCCTAGTTAAGGTTTGAGATGCTGCAGTCTGGAAAATAAACTACAAAACAGCAGTAAGTTTTAAAAAGCTGTGTTAAAAGTTCAATTACATGCACAAGTAGTTCGTCCTGGGAATGTTTCAGCAATCCTTAAGCTATTACTCTGTTGTTATTCTTGCTGGAACATATCCCTCATTAAGATAAGCCAAGAATTCTCTTGACTGGTCAAATCACCAAGCCAATTAAATTATGGTGTTGACGAATTCAAGACTGAATTTGGTCCTCACCAAGAGGATTTTTATTATTTGTGTCACTCTGCCAAGGTTCTTACACAACCACTGTTTTCTTCAATGTTTGGATAAAAATATAGCATAAATACCTGAAGGTTTATGACCATTTTGCTTTTTTGCCACTTCTTCTGATCTTGTCTTGGGAGTATTTTTGTCTTCTAGGAGATCTGGCTTTTTAATAAATGATTTTGTGCTGACAGGAAGGCCCAGAGTTGGCTTCACGTTGCCTGCGGACTTCTGATCCTCCCTGACTGAAGCAGAAGCAGCAGTGGGAACAGCTGAGGAGATCAGCTTTGGAGACTCAGCACGGCTTTCATTCTGGTATTTTAGTAAAGATGATGTTCTCCTTAGTCTGACCCCAAATGGATTTTCAACATTTTGTGCTTCATGGTCAGTCCACTCCATAGAAGAATTCAAATGCAAATCACTGTCCCTACAATCTCGATCCCAGTTGTTTTTTGCTGATTCCTGGATGACTGCATCAAAACGCGTGTGTTCTTTTGTCACTCCTTCAAACAACTCTGGTCTTACCGGGGACGTTGGGGAACTTCTGGTATAGGCATCATCCTTTGAATTTGAACCCCCTGAGAGAGATCTTTGCCACGCTGGTGCAATTGTAAATCTGACTGGTTTGGCAGAAGCAGTCTTCGGTGGACTTTTTAGGTTTTCATCTGAAGATCGACTGTCTTCCACTGTTTTACTGCGAGAAGCTGTACTGCTTATCTGGTACTCCTTGCTGTTGTCATCAGAAGAGATATTACTCTTCAAGCCAGCCAAACTTGAGGAGGCAAGACATCCAATGGAAAGTTTTTCAGAAATGTACGATGTGTTGGCCTGTTGACTGCCTTGGTTACCCTTTGAAACAGAAACAGCTTCTGCTTTAAAACATACTTCCAATTTACTGGGAGGTAGCATGCAGTCTGCTTCTGAGACAGATGCAGCAGTGTCTTTTTTTTTTCCTGCATTGCCTTTCGATGACTGAAATTCCACTCTTTCACAACTTTCTTTGTCACTTCTTGTCACTGAACTGTTTTCAGGCTTCAAAACAGCCACTGTCTTGATGTCAGAAGATGACTCTGAATTGGTTACCACAACCTGTGAAGTGTTTGGTGCAGTAACTGAGACAGCATGGTTGGAAAGATCCTCAACGGTACACAAGCAGGCTTCTTTGCCAGTTAACAGTGGATGCCCCTTTTTCTGGTCTTTGATGTCAGGATCCACAGAATTTACTGAGGACTTTTGTGCAACATCTGCCAGTACATCTATGCCCTCTGTTTCCACACCATTGCTGAAGAAGTCAGCTGGTGGTGTGTCTGGAAATACAACAGCTTCTCCTTCAATTTGTTGCAGTTTTGGAAGTGCAGATACTTCAGTACTGGTATTTTGCTGACGTCGTTTCAATTCATCAGCAGACTCGTCTGAGCAGCACAACACCTTTTCACTGTGGTGTTCCTCCAGGTTCACTGGAGAAGGTTCTGGTTTCAGAAGGGGAGCAGTTGCTTTATAGTGATGGTCCATGTCTGGAGGACATGCATCCTCTTGCCGGAAAGCACAGGAGTCTTCTGCCACAACTGTGGAATCAGGTGAGTCACGGGCAGCATCTGTGGGACTTCTTGCAGCTGGCATCTCCTTAGAACTGCCTCCCTTTGCACAATATCCCACCTGGGCTGATAATCCTATATTAAACAGAGGAGAAGAGTGTACACATAGAGGTTACCATCTGTATCAGTAATCCATTCCAGATAGTGCAGTCATTTAGCATGAGTTCCCCATGCCTGGGCACCATTGTCTGATAAATAAGGCTATTAAAGGTGTATTTAGAAATGGGCTGTCCAAGTGAGGAGATGAATAAAGTTTTTAGTTTGAACATGTATAATCCCAGGAATGACTGAAAGTTCTTGTCTGCTTATGGTATACCAAAGCAGTTGCTATTTAGTTCTTTTCTGTGCATACCCCTAGTTTTAAGACTACTGACCAGATTTCCCCAGCCATTACAATTCAAATAGGTCCTGTCAGCCTTATGTAGAAGAGTTCAAGCACCCAAGGTAGTAATACATAAGTCTTCATTACCTTCCCAGTCACTTTTTTGCTGGTCACTCTCAAGTAGTTCTGTTGACTTGCCCTTCTTTTCTGGAGTTGAAGGAAGATGTGCTTCATTTTCCAGCTGTTCCACCTAACGAGGTGCAATAAGATCTTTTAATTAAAGAATGTAAAAAAATGTGTTTTATAGACACACATTTATGAATACCCAAACATAGACACAAAACCTCCATTCTGTTATTTACCAACACTATGGTAAATATTCCAGTTAAGAACCTAGAAAACATTATTGTTTAAAATGTCAAAGGCAGCCCATTGATCTCTCTTGAAATGGAAACATTCTGAGATTGACATATTCTGAGTGAACCAATATGCTCTTAAGTCATCAGCCAAGCTACCTGGTGGCATAGAACAGACACTATTATTGGTTCTGGTATCTCTGATTCACACTCCACAATCAGCTTTTCTCCTTCAGCACTGTAGTTGTACCAGCTGCAGCACACAGAATATCCAGTAAAGATGCTGTAGAGCCCAAGTTTCCAAGAAAACCTCATTCAGTATTACATTCATTCTGATTTCTCCCCTCCCAAACCCCCTTCTCAGGGCAGGGTACTTCTAACTTCCGGATAAATTTTCACGCATGATTCTCTCATGGAGAGGGGAACACACAGTAGTGTTACTCTTTACTTCTGTCACACTCCAGCTCCACAACCTTTTCTATCCAGTGAATTTCATCTTCATAATGTGTTTCCTAGAAGCCAGGATAAGAAACATCTCATCCCAATTTCCCACATGCAGAGCTGCATTCCTTCCCACAGTCCTTTCTCTTTCCTTTGACATACAAAGAATTAAGTTAAAACTAATGTGAAATTGCCCGTAGAAACAGACTTGGGCTTCTTTAAAACTAGCTTTTCAGACAAAAGGAATATTTTTACAAATTAAGTGTAACCTATAACTTTTTTGCTAAACAATGAAAAAACAAAGTTGCTCCCATGACATTCAAGTTTTCTGAGTGTTTTTTGGTTGGTTTGTTGGTAGAAAATGGATGGTTTCCCTTCTTCCCATGGAAGAACAAAAAAAGTAAAGGAATGTGGACAGGAAAGAAAAAAAAAATTAAAAATTCGTGTCTATTTCCTTTGGTGCAGTGATTCTTTTCTGGAAAATACTTACCTGGGGACTTTGCTGATTCTTGCCGGTAAAGCCTTTCTGTTTCCGGGGGTTTATGGCAATCCTGTGCCTGGCTGCTGAGGTGTCCAGGCAGCCGAGGGGGCTGGCAGGGACAGTGAAGTCAACAGGAAGGGAGCTGCTGCCTTGTGAGCCGGGGGCCCCCACAGGGACAGAGGACAAAGGACTGATGGGCCTGGAGGACGCTCCAGAAGGTACCTGTAAAACACAAACATGTCACTGTACGTTTTGGTTGGTTTCCTCACATCTTTGAAATAATTCCTTTGTTAGCTCGTTCCATTTCAGAAGCCTGTTATGGATGTATTTTTGGATATAAATCCTCACTTTAAAATGCATGCCCAACGTTGTCTCTGCATAGAGATTACTCCGTTCTGTATGTTCAGCTGTATTTTAAATAAAAGGGAGCAATACCTGCCTCTCCCTCTCCTACAGTAAGAGCCTCAGCATGTCCCCTTCCCAGGTCTTACCCGAAAAACCATTTGCAATATATGCATGCACCAGCAGGAGACACTGGTGCAGTTTTTACAGCTTTTATAGATGCCTTTCATCCCAAGTAGCGGGAACCCTTGCTCCTCATTATCTCTAAGAAAGCTACCATAGCCACTTTGGTCTTTTAATATCCGCTCTCCCAGGAAAATGAAATGCTCCTCTCCAACAAATATCCCAGAACCACCTTCAAGACAGTGATGTGAATCTCACCCTCGCAGCAATGCTGCTCTGGGGATCTAGACAGCAGTAACCTTAGATTATGCTATCAACATAAAGGATTTACAGAAGTGTTTGCAGCTTGGCTGGTTTTATTACTGTTTTGAAATACAGACCAGACTTTCCGGAACATTTGCAAAATTTCACAGATCTGACAGATAAGCTTCATTCAGTATAATCTACCTGCTGTTTTGGTTTTGACCATAGATCTAGATGAAACATTTAACTGTGTTTGGCATTCAGATTTTAGTTTTGTTTAAGCTTAGGATGTAACACAGCATTTAAAACATGTATACCAATGAAGTTTTAAAGATAATGAAAACATCCTCCCATCTGATCTACAAAAATTGTTTAGGTATGCTGCTTTGTGTTTAAGGTAGCTAATATTGAATTTTTTAAGTTCCTAGATCTGAAATAAACTGCAACATATTATGACAGATACAGACTCTCCTCATGAAAAATTTACACATTGTGAAAGAGAGAAAGAAGAATACAGCTTCAAAAATCTTTATAAACCTGTAAGGATCACTAGAACTTACAAAAATAGCTGCTCACTTTGAGAGACAGCCTCACATTTAGCTTTAGATTAGTCAGAAAGTGGGTATTTATAAATGTGGAATGCACTGAGGAGTTACATCGGTGACAGATCAGGGTTTCACACAGAGGTGACAGCAGCTCTTGGAACCCAAGCAGCAGCACAGGGCAAAGAAATGAAGGAATTATCATCTGCAGCAAGATCAATACAATAGGAAAATGTAGCTGTTAGACCCTTCAGATTGCTTAGGATCAAATCCTCTTTTTTCTCTGTTAAATACACAACATGGTTAAATGGAACAACTGGTGTAGATTTTTTTGTATTTTTCACAATTTTCCTTGTCTTCAGAATGAGGTTACACAGTTTAACACTCTGTGTTCTGCTAGCTGAAATCCTGGTATTACATAAATAGCTTCAAAAGCTATTGAAAAAAATGATGATTATTTAGGTAAAGGCTACGTTTAGATAAACGTATTGGCAAGATTTCTGCAAAGCCAAACCGCTGACCAAGAAAAATATTTAGGTAAAGGAACGTATACGGTACTATAGAGAAGGTAGCCAGATTCCTAGTGAGTCAGGGGAAAAAAGGAAGAGCCTTTAAGTGGGGAATTCTGTGCAATATTTAGGAGAGAAAAAAATTCTCCTGTACTTGTCTGTCTTTCTCATAGGAAATGAGATTTTAAGACTGAAAGACCTCAAAGACTTCAGAATCAGATAGAAAAGGGCTTTTTGCACTGTAAGGAAAAAACAGTATGCAGGCTTACAAAATGGAGCTTTTCAGTCAAGATATAAATATTCTCCCTCTCAGCTACGTGGCAGATTACTCAGGTTATACAACTGCTAGGCCTATCCCATGAACCAAACCAGCTCTGTTCGAGCAGTGCCTGCCTTTGTCACTGGCATTTGAAGACTCCATCTGCATACCTGTGCTTCGACGGGGCTTTCAGACATTATACTAACACTGGCAAAAGGCAACATAAGCAAACCCTGCAGGCTGCTCTGAGAAGAGCCCGAATTCAACTCAGCTTCAAGCAGCAGGGACAGTTGAGGTGAAGGTTCCCTAGGTCCTCTCCAAAAATACAACCTCTATAAATTTTTCTGAGCTGGTCAAGGAATAGACTACGTTGGTATGACAGCAAAACCTGTTGCTTCTGAAGGGTTTTTTTGTAAATTAACACAGACTTTTTCCTGCGGAATTCCTGGTGTCAGAAAGGGTTGATCCTGAAATTATTTCCTATGATAAGAGAGATGCAGGGCATTGCTCACAAGCCACTGCTGACGGGCAGGTGTTATTAAGCTGTTACTGCTGTTACGTACTGGGGCCCTGGGACATGGAAGTGGAATTGAAGGGCTTCGCATTGTTCATTTGTCTGTTGCGCAACTTCACAGATTCATACCATGTCACGGGGCTGACTATGCCATTCACACAAACCACTTACCAGTAGATTTCTGCCTCTCTTTATTTTGTTTATTCATAACTCTGCGGGATGTACATTTTCAGTATCATTTGCATCACTCTAGACTGTTTATGAATTGTTTGCTAGGATACACTGTGCCCAGAATAGATTTTATTAAATCAGTAAATAAATATTACTGTACCAGCTCCGTATAGATATCGCATATGCTGTCTCAGGAAAGTTCATAAGCAGGAGAAGAAGCTATTTACCTGTTCATCTTCACTGTCTGTCCCGCCTAAACTCAAAGAGCTATGACGCTGAACAGGGTTGGAGGACTGTGGGATAAAATAAGGAAGAGGGTAAGTCAAGGGAAGTATCACACTGAATTATCTGGGACTGGATATCTCATGCTAATTATGAGAAAACACAAGAGGATAAATAAAGGAAGGGTCACTGAGTCCCTGACTCACAGAGCAGGTTTCATTTGTTCATTAGGGATCAAGTAAAATGTAGGGGAGCTTTATCCTGTAATGAGATACACCACGATGGTTGACCACATGAGGCAATACTTTTTATAAAGTTATTTTGGCTTACTGTTTTAAGATCTTCAAATCTACAAATGCTCACATGCTTGCTCAAGTCCAAAATCATACATCTGCTGTGACGAGGCAATTCCTAAGAAAGGAGACAATCCAAACCCCCTTTGAGTCCCACCAGAACCTGTTCTCCTCAGGCTCGTAGGATTGTCACTTTCCTGTCAATTCAACTAATATTGCCCCGGTTTTGAGCTATTTCATTCCAAAACCAGTAATTGTTTAAGATCCTCTTGCAGCCCTCATTAATTTTGTTTTCCTCACTAGCTTTAAAACACTCAAAACCTCTTCTCCTTTCAAAGGTGCAGTAAAATGCCAATCTCTCCATCTCTTTGAAGCCAGAAGACAGGAGAAGTTCATTGTGCAGCACTGAGTATCTCAGCTGGTTCTCAGACTGGAAGTGGAACAGTCACAGTAACAAAACACTCAGCCGTGAATAATTGACTTTTTATGCTTTCTGCCATGTAGACCTGCCAGGAGACACTGCCTTGCCCAAAGGCTCTGAGAGTTGTCATATCAGCTGAATTCCTCTCCTTTTTCCCTAATGACATAGGTCAAAATTGCCCCAGCACTGGTCTAGACAAAAGCACAGAAAATTGTACTCCGAAGGGGTATGTGTAAGGCTACTCCCTAGGCATCCCTCACAGTGACAAGCCCACAATCCACCTAGGTGATTTGTTCTGGTTCTGACTGATCTCTACTATCAGACTTTATTACAGGCAAAAAGGTTTTCCCCTTCTCCAAGCAGATTTTGTCTGTACTATACAGGTGGTCACTGCAGTGACACAACAATTATACCTTGCTTGGTGAATCTGTCAGAACTTCATGAAGGGTTGACATTTCAGGAGGGCTTCTAGGTAAACCATCATCTTCAGAAACAGCACCTGCATCTTCCAGTTTCTTTCCAGTTATAACAAGAGGAGGTGATCCAAGTCTGATGTTCTGCTGCAGCTGAAGCTGTGGTTGACAAGAAATTTAGAATGAGACTTTCAATGGCAGTATTTATAGGTGACATTTTGGACACTCTTACCCCAGTTGCTCCTATTAGGCATGCAGAATGTCTTAGTTAACAGAAATATTTGAAGAAACAGACCATTTACAGAAAACAGCTACTAATAAAATTTTATTTAATTACACTCACCGAGGACCCATCATTAGAACTGGCTGAGGTACAAAACTAAAACCAAAATCAGTTTTATTCAGTAAGTTACCAAAGACAGAAATTTCACCATTCCAGAAAATTTACAGCAGTTTAACTCAGTTTTAGTTTAAAACTTCAAAAACTCTAGATTTAATTATTCTTTACATAATTACATGTATCTGGATGTCACACAAAGTATTGTCAGTCAGCAGTTCCCAACCCCAGGTTTATGTGATCAGCTTTCCTTCACAAAGCCCTTCCAAATATTGAGAGCTTGTCACCATCCTCTCCTGCACAAGTAGCTAGTCCCACTTTTTATACAATTTAATTCAATTTCTGGTCCACCCTAACGAAATGCTTGTTAATTTTCCCCAGCTTCACATCCTGGTTCTGTCTACAGCAAGAATGATAACAGCAGCCAGGAACAAATTTGTTTGTAAAGGAGTATGGAGATTCTTTTCCAAGACTGCACAAAAGAATGCTCTGGCAGGCCCTGACCGTAGAAAAATAAAACAAAGTCTGCAAGTCTCACAAGCAGCCAGATGTTCCCCCAAACAAAAAAAGTTCAGATCTCAGGAAACACCATTACTAAAATTCTTGGCTTAAGTCTGTCGGCTATGTCAAAGCTGGAAGAGAAACAAGCCTGAACAGAAACTTTGTCCTTCAACTAAAAACGTCTCAGCTGAATATTCCCAAGATAAATATGCAGAACTGTTTTTTCTGTTTCTTTGCTTATTAAACTAGATCGGGAAATTCCAGGCCTAATTCTGTGCTCTTCTGCAAGCTATGCATTCATTTCTATCTCTGTAAAATAGATCTAAATAGCTGCCATTTTATTCAGCAAGATTCACTTGGAATGTAATCTCCATAAATCTGACAGCCACACAGGGCAGCACAATGTTCCCTTTTAATTCACTGGTCTCCCAGTTCAAACAGCTTTCTTGCCCTCTTGCCCACAACAATCGAAGAAGTATCACCAACACAATCTGCAAAAGCAGGACCGATGACAAGCTGCACAAAGATTGCAATACATGGGCAAAACAAGACGTACCACATACTTGTGCACTTCATGAGAAGAAAAATATAGAAAATCAATTCTGCTTTTATCACTTTTCACAACTTCCCAACTTTGATTTATAAAATCTATTACACGCAGGCAGCAAACTGCTGTGAGGGGAACTGAATTTACACTCTGTCTTCTACTAGTAAAAGTTAATTTACATTGCTAAGAAAATAACAACTTCTATTAGTGATTGGCTTTTATTTGGACAACACTTAAGCTCACAGAAAAAGGCTGTCTTTTACGGCTATACAAATAGCCCTGGCAGTACGACATTACACCATGCAGCATGATGGATGGGTGAAGAAAGGGCACAGTGGACTGGAGATAGCAGGAAAAGAGCTTTTTTTCCCCCCAACAAAGTTCTGTCATATATAAACATGATGATTTCTCCTGCTATTCCTATTGTTATACAAAAAAATACCCTGAACTGAAGCTCAGCCTATTTTGCAGTCTTAGAGAGGAACAAGTCCCTCTGCGCATCTTCTGTTACTTAACATGTGATGCAATTGTGTTTTGCAACACGAAGCTCACAATGAGCAAAGGAAATTCTGAGCATTGAAATTCTTTTCAATGGCCTTTGGCTGCCTTATCAACAGTTTGTTTTCAGTCTCTGGAAAAACCTTAAACTTTTATCTCAGTGCTCTGAGCTGGGCAGTTATTTAAATGCAGTTAATATAACCAACAGTTGATAAGGGAGCTGTCAAAGAGGGTTCAGTATGTGCCTTGGAAGAAGGAAATGACCTAGCAGAATACAGTATCCTTTGCTGGCAGAGATCTGAAGAATGAAGATATAAATAAAGCTGTCACTAAGAATGCCCTGAAATATCCATCATTCCACACACTTACACAGCCACTTGTGCTAGCATGTACAATGGAAACATCATAGCCAGAACGTATAAATAATATGAGTAACAGTGTAAGGGAACACAATGCACTATAAATAAGTGCTCTTAACCCAAAAATCTGGGTTTTGAAGTGAAGAATGGAAATCCCATCAAAAGAGGACACACACATTAAGGATCATTTCCAAGAGTCCATGAACTGGATTCATGTCAAATAGGTTGCCCAGAGAGGTAGTGGAGGCCCCATCCCTGGAGGCTTTCAAGATCAGGTTTGATGGGGCTCTGAGCAACCTGATCGAGTTAAAGATGTCCCTGCTCACTGCAGGGAGTTAGACTAGATCACCTTTAGAAGTCCCTTCCAACCCAACGCATTTTAGGATTCTAAATCTGGTCTTAGTCAACAAAATCTTAAGGTGCAGAGAAGAGGAATGAAGCAACAGAGTTTCCTAGGAGACAGCTAATACAAAGCAGCACCATGAGGGCACAATGTTCTCACCTGCAAAGTTTTCACTCTTCCAGGGATGTTTTCCTGAGACAACACATCACCAGCCACATTTCCTGGTGCAGACTCAAGAATGAAGACGCTGTCATGGGACAGGGCTTTGTTTCCCATGCTTCCTTTGGGCCTGGGAAGGAAGAAGAGTGGTCAGTGTACGGCGCACATCCCTGCAACACTTCCCTGCACTACTTCACCAGAGCAGAGGGGTTATAAAGAAGCCAGTGTGGGATGCACCTCATTTAACTTAACATTCGTGCACATTATCTATCTAAGGTAGTCACTGCTAGCTCCTTTTATACTCTGAAGGGAGGAAGAAACACTTTTGAGGATGCTGATCAAGTGCAGGTGTCTCTTTTCAGTTGTACCCAGCATCTGCACTGAACACACAGGACAGTGTCTGGACTAGAGAAGGGTGTCCAGGGTGATTAGGTCATATGCTAGAATTTCGTTGGATGGATGACACCCTGAGAGATGTCTACAGCACAGATGAGGAAGACAGAAGTCCCCTGCCCTCCTTCAGTGAGAATGTGCCTAGCATGGCACATTCAGGATACAACCTTTGCAGCCTGGTGTGTGTCATATGTGCCAAAGATTATGGGGTTTTTTTACCCTTCTTGCAAATACGGGCAGACAATATAATTCTATTCCAGTTAGAAAGTTGATTCAAATCCGCACTGGTACTGCAATAACAGCTCTGTTCATCAGTATCATAAACATTGCCAGACCCCAAGCATATTAAAAAATGTAGATGGGACAAGCATCCACAGCCCCAGTTACATACCTGTCCTCGGTCAGGTTAATGTACTCGGGTAAGACGTTCCTGTTCTGCTCAGTGGGTTTTCAGTGCAGTGAAGCACTGATGAGTTCCCACAACAGCTGTTAACTGAGGTGTAATCATCTGAGACTGAGGGAGGTTGGGCTACTAGGTTGCACAGGGCAGGTTTTGCACTTGGGTGGCACAAGGAAGCCTCCAAATTTTTTATTCACCAAGTTCCACCAGCATAGGCAGACACTGTCTGTATATTACTTTGTCCAGAAGTCCACGAGGATGGCCTCTGCCAGGATTTCATTTTAGCTTTTAACTGGAAAACAACAGAGAATACTCCTGTTGTTGGCTGCCAGCCTTGTAACCAACAAGTTACAGGGATTCCTTGGCTCAGCTGCTGTGCAGGCAACGCTCACTGCCTCTGAAGGTTTGACTCTGGGTAACACGGGATGATTAGGAACAGAACTCTGGCAAGGAAAACCTACTATGTCTGACACTCTTCTGCAAGGAAATCAAACAGAAGTCTCTGCTATTTGTCTAACCCCAGATTCTGTCTTTACTTAGGAAAAAGCCCTGAAAGACTGTGATCTTTAGTAAATACATCATGTAAAAAAAACCCATACAAATGACTTTTTCCTCCTGCCTATGCCTTCTTTACAACTCCAGAGACATCTCCTTCATCTGCGTGACTAACTCTCCTGTTGCCCAAAGGTGTACGCTGTAAGTACAGAGTCACAATGAGTCTCATGATAGGGCAAAACAATACTGCTCTACTTTTATGTTGTGTTGAAGGCCTTCCTCTCACGGCACAGATCACAGTTTGGGCTTCCTGCTATTATACATAACAGTTAACACCTGTTAGTTTACACGACAGAGGTTCTACACGGAAGTAAGGCACTTGCCTTATCTCATCATTAAAGGGAATGAGTCATCCCGTCTTTTTGTGTGGTTTAGAGTCCTCTTCATCATGAAAGACACTCTATATGGGCAAGATATAATTTTACTGCATTCAGAAAGAGTG